AACAAGGCAATAAATCATTCATCCCAGCAATATCACCTTACCTACTATATTAGATTCAAATTAGATAGATATCAAATGTGACATGGTAGACAGAATAATTATACAGGGTGCAGAGTTTTGGTGACAAAAGCCCAGGGGAGATTCCTCTCAGTAAAAAATGAAAAAAAAAATCATATGTAAATGGGTCCGAAAAGGCTTCGTTTCGTTTCCGAAAAATTTTCTTGAAATATTTCTCACATTTCAGAGAGGGGATTGAATTTTATGTCTTTTTTGTTTTCATAAATAATTATTGTATTGTCAAAACGGCTCACATATCGCAATCTCAAGATTCAGAGTTCTGATCACCCTGTATCTGTTCCGAATAAATATCAGTAAATAGTAAATCAAAAGTTGAGATAGGGACATGTGCTACTTTTTGATAGAAGCGGCAACACTGCATTCCTGAAAATATTTCAAATGAAGAGAGCGTATTCTAAAATATAAACATGCATATTTTCATGGATACCTCCCGACTGATTCTCGATATAGAGATAGTGTAAGGTCGTCGAGACATACCCTGTATATCACTGACGATAATTATTAGGGAATATAAAAGGATGTGTTTAGTGTTCATAAAGCAGGAAAAACTGAGAAAATTTCACAAGATAATCAGGATCAGGATACGCAATAAATGAATAGTAATTAAAAATTTCTACACTATACCTACTTCCACTCATATATTTCCAAGATCGAACGATATATTAATAACACACACATTCCACGTGCAATGACAATCATTTATTTCGAAAATTGAACTAATTAGCCAATTAGTGGTCATCAGAGTTTATCTGCTTCATCTCCAACTATATTATAAGACGCGTTATTAGTGAACAAACTTTCGTTGAAAAATTGATGAAGATGAAATCTTCAATATTCTTGGCATACAAAGAACAGATTTCATTATCTAGTACTCAAACCAGTGAATCTATTTTCACAGCAAAATATGTCTTCCACATGTGCTTGTTCCGTTTAATGAATCTCTATTCCGCCTTCATGTGTGCCAGTCACATGACTCAATTATATCCGTTCTAGTGAAAGCAACAACCGATGTGAGAAGAGATCATTTAATATTGATTTCGATAAAAAATCACTTTCATTTCTGTATTTACGCTGGGTGTATCACGAAACTAATTCGTTAGAACTTTTCGATGTTCTCTTATGAATAAAATAACATCGTCTTATTAAAAAAATTGTATAACATGTCCCTCTAGTCTTTCTAGATTTATACCGCAACTCGAACCGCAAACGATATGATTCGGTATTTGGGAGAATTTTTTGGAAACCGGATCATTGGTAGAGGTTTGTGCCCCTCCCCCGCAGTCCGAGCCCAACTCCTCTAGATTTTAAATAAAATAAATAAATATACTTTATTGTCTAAGAAAAATGATTCCTTATTGACAAAGCTTGTACAAAATAATATATAGTCTGTGAAACTCTTAAAAAAATATGAAAAAATTTAAAATCAAAACACAAATACACAGAATCACACAATTTGAAACAAGTTAACACGTCATGTATAAAATGTAAAATATTGCAAACTAAAATAGAATTGAACATGAAAATTTGCAGTCTCTTGAAAAACAAAAAAGTTTTATAATCATTCACAAAATAAAAAATAAAAAACACAATTTTACAGAGAAACATTATTTGAACATAAGTTCACAAGTCATTAAATCAGAAACATATTTTATAGTTCGAAATCAGACTCCACATACCTATAGGATAAATAAAAGACAATATGAAACTTCTAATCACAACAGAGTTTCATTGTAATATTCCACAAGGTTGTAATACGCTTTTGTTGCAAGGGCTTCTTTCACAAGATTTCTGAACTTTTTATAGCTTTTCTCCTTCCTGAGGCCGAATGAAAAACAAAATTTTCAAAAATATAGTATTCACACCCTAGAGCAATTATTGAAGAGGTGCAAAGTATCACACACAATGAACTTGAGCGTAATTTTGATTATATGAAACGCAAAATTAATTTATGTTTAGATATAGCAGAGATTATACACCCCTGTATAATCTGAATCTCTGGATATATTGAAGGTTGCCATATTGAACATTCATTATAACTCAATCAGTTATAGTCATTTTGAGAAATAAAAGTGTAAAATCCATTGCAGGTGTATTATTTCCGTCTGTCTTATATTCGGATACCAAATTAAATGTTGATAACAGATTTCTCAAAACATTTTTTTGTAATCGTTGCCATATTTTCAATTCAATTTCTTACGGCTTTGCTTTTCACCATTCATGATAGAGCCGGATATTTGACGTCCAGAGCTATCACCCGTGCATCAACTTTGGTTGTCTAAATCTTATGGTCACGTGGGGTAGGGGATTCATCGGAGACCTTATACCAAATTTAAAAAATAGATATTTTCCTACAACTATAAAAAAAACTACACTTTTTTAATATATTTCGTGTACTTAAAGTGTACAATGTTTCAATATCAAAATACTAATTCGTTATTTTACGGAAGAGTGTGGAAAAAAATAAGTTTTTTTCGCGGTTGTTGCTAGAAATGTATGTTTGCGTGAAAGGGGCATGTCCAAATTAGAAAAATATATTATTTTATATTTTGCGAAGTTTTTTTTTTCAAATGAAAACTGTTCGAATTACTTGGGGTCCGTTTTTTATTTTTAAATGTATTTTCAGGGGATATTTTATAATCGCTGTATAAGCGAATTTTATACCTTGTTTTTGGGCTGTTTGGGGTGGGTGCAAGACAGACAGAAAAAGACGGTGACATTTCGAACTTTTTCGTGAAATATCTCGATAAATAAAGGTTCAAATGTTCACTATTAATTTCGTGTTTTTCAGATAAAAATACGTAACAAAAAAGATTTTAAAAAAAACCATCGCGCATTTTAAGTGAAAAATCACCAAATCCTGATGTTTTCTTTTTTTGGCTATGAACTTATCATGAGCTCATCGATCTCCTGAGCTTCCTGAAGAACAGAACCACTTACCAGTCTGGATTTGGAATAACTCTATTTACGATCTCTTTTTCTTCTCGTCCGGATCGTTTTCGCTCTTCTTCCTGCTGCTGAGATCGAACAGAGACATGGACCAAATGAATCTAACCGAGACAGGATGTAGGCCCAAATAAATCGAACAGACAGGAAGTAGGCCCAAATAAATCGACCAGAGACAGGACGTAGGACCAAATAAATCGAACAGACAGGACGTAGGACCAAACTAAACGAACAGACAGGACGTAGGCCCAAATAAATCGACCAGAGACAGGACGTAGGACCAAATACATCGAACAGAGACAGGACCTAGACCCCAATAAATCGAACAGAGACAGGACGTAGGACCAAATGAATCGAACAGGCAGGACGTAGGTCCAAATGAATCGAACAGAGAAAGGACGTAGGACCAGATGAATCGAACAGACAGGACGTAGGCCCAAATAAATCGACCCGAGACAGGTCGTAGGACCAAATAAATCGAACAGAGACAGGACGTAGGACCAAATACATCGAACAGAGACAGGACCTAGACCCAAATAAATCGAACAGACAGGACGTAGCAATAAACAAACCGAACAGACAGGACGTAGGCTCAAATAAATCGAACAGAGACAGGACCTAGACCCAAATAAATCGAACAGACAGGACGTAGCAATAAACAAACCGAACAGACAGGACGTAGGCTCAAATAAATCGAACAGAGACTGGACGTAGGACCAAATAAATCGAACAGAGACAGGACGTAGGACCAAATAAATCGAACAGAGACAGGACCTAGACCCAAATAAATCGAACAGACAGGACGTAGCAGTAAACAAACCGAACAGACAGGACTTAGGTCCGAATAAATCGAAGAGAGACTGGACGTAATATCAAATAAATCGAGACATCACGCAGGTCCAAATGAATCACAGGAGACAGGACGTAGGACCAAATAAATCGAACAGAGACAGGACCTAGACCCAAATAAATCGAACAGACAGGACGTAGGCACAAACAGAACGAACAGACAGGACGTAGGCCCTGGACGTAGGACCAAATAAAATGAACAGAGACAGGACGTAGGACCATATACATCGAACAGAGACAGGACCTAGACCCAAATAAATCGAACAGACAGGACGTAGCAATAAACAAACCGAACAGACAGGACGTAGGCTCAAATAAATCGAACAGAGACAGGACCTTGACCCAAATAAATCGAACAGACAGGACGTAGCAATAAACAAACCGAACAGACTGGACGTAGGCCTAAATAAATCGAACAGAGACTGGACGTAGGACCAAATAAATCGAACAGAGACAGGACGTAGGACCAAATAAATCGAACAGAGACAGGACCTAGACCCAAATAAATCGAACAGACAGGACGTAGCAGTAAACAAACCGAACAGACAGGACTTAGGTCCGAATAAATCGAAGAGAGACTGGACGTAATATCAAATAAATCGAGACATCACGCAGGTCCAAATGAATCACAGGAGACAGGACGTAGGACCAAATAAATCGAACAGAGACAGGACCTAGACCCAAATAAATCGAACAGACAGGACGTAGGCACAAACAAAACGAACAGACAGGACGTAGGCCTAAATGAATCGAACAGAGACTGGACGTAGGACCAAATAAAATGAACAGAGACAGGTCTTAGGAGCAAATGAATCGAGACAGAGACAGGACGTAGGCCCAAATAAATCGAACAGTGACAGCACGCAGGACCAAATAAATCGAACAGAGACAGGATCTAGGACCAAATAAATCGAACAGCCAAGACGTAGGACCAAATAAATCGAACAGAGACAGGACGTGGGACCAAATAAATCGAACAGAGACGCCGTAGGACCAAATAAATCGAATATGACTTGTTTTTCAAAATTTCACAAGAATGCTCTCTTTTCAGAACTATAGTTTATCGCGATTGCATTATTTCTGTTTTGTTTTGTCATAAGCCGGAAAGTGGAAATACCAGATATACCCACTTGATTCACTGCTGCTGCTCATCGATCTCCTGAGCTTCCTGAAGAACAGCACCAGCCTAGATTTGGAATAACTCGATTTCCGATCTCTGTCTTTCTCTCCCGCCACGGCTATCGTCCCAAGGGTGCATCTCTTCTTCTTCTCGTCCGGATCGTCTTCGCTCTTCTTCCTGCTGCTGAGATCGAACAGAGACATGGACAGGCCGTAAGACCTGCTCCTTTCAACCGGCATCGCAGCTTGGAGGTTTTTGCAGTCGCAGGTCTGTCGTTTGTCGGGATTGTTAGAGATGGTTCTCATGAAATTTATGTCGCTGCTGGTGAAGTTTCTCGTTTCCATGTATTTTGGCGCCATTTCGGCGGTTAGTCACTAGACGCTCGGGTGAAATAGCGATTCGAAGCTACCTGATTCGAAATTTCGATTTGTCTGTCGGCACAGTGCGCGAGGTACTGTCGGTTCGAATCCGGCTATCGGCTGAGCATTTTTCTTAAAAATTTGTTATTCTGCTCAATGCTCAAAGTGAATTGGAATGTTAAATGAATAGTTACAAAACTCAAATTAATTTCCAAAAAAGCAATACCTCGACGCCCTAGAAGTGGTTCAGTCTCCACTATAAGCTGTAGGTCTCGCTCTCCCTGACCCTGCACAAGTTTCGACTCCTGGGAAGTTGGTTCCCAACTTTGAAGTAGCGAGATATAAATTTTTTCAAAAATGTTTATGAAATTATAATTATGTGTATTTTTCGTTTCTACACATGAACAAATGAAATTCGGGTGTAGGTATAGAACATGAATATGCATTTCTTGACGTATTCTATTATTTTCTGTCACTTCAGGTTTGACCGGAAATTAGCTTCACTTTCCTAATATAAATGGGTCACACGGTGTATTTATCAGAAGCTATATCATTTAGTTTCACCTGTCAGGTGTATGTGTTTAAATCCTGCAAGTTAAATATAACACACTTTTGATTGTCCGATTGATTTGAAATTTGGCAGGTGTAACAATGGTAACAATGAATCATGAAATTTTTGTTACAGAAAAAAACATGTCGACTCCAAAATGGCGGATGAATTTTGTGATTATGACCCATATATGACTCGATTCTATTCAAAATTGTTATCTGAGGGTTTTTGGGGTTGGCAATTATGATTCCTCTGTCAAATTGAAAAATTCAAGATGGTGGCTGCAATATGGCGGACGAGTTTTGTAATTATGATCCAATTCTAATCAAAATTGGTATCTGGGGGTTTTCTGGGACGGAAATTATTATTCATTAATCACAATTGCAAATTTCAAGATGGTGTCTCCAATTTGTCGGACGAGTTTTGTAATTATGATCAGATTCTATTAAAAATTTTGCATGTGGGGGGTTTCGAGATTATGATTCTTTCGTCAAAATTGTGAAATTCAAGATGGCGGAACTAATATGGCGATCGAGTTCTGTAATTAGGATCCGATTCAACTCAAATTTGGTATCTGGGGGCTTTTTGGGTCGGACGTTATGATTCTTCAATCAAAATTGAAAAATTCAAGGTGACGGCTTCAAAAGGGAGGATGTTTTGTGATTATGGTCCTATTATATTCAAAATTGGTATGTTGGGGGCTTTTGTTGTCGGATATTTTTACAATTACAAGCTTTTATTCAGTTTAACCTGTACCAGTCATATCTGTCTGTGAGAGGGTGTCTTTGTAGTGCATTTTTATAAAAGCTTGTGTTAAAAAATGTGTTTAATAGAAGCTTGTTTTTACTAATTTCAATAAGAAAATCACATTGTGAGTACAATGACAATCCATTTGTCATTTTTTGACATTCATCATACTGAAATTTTCGATTTTTAATCTAGAGTGCCATGACTGAGTCAAAACTATTGATTTTTGATCAAGTTGCCAGGGAAATTTCTTTCGAATAGGAAAAAGGTGGTTCATTACCATAACTATTTTTTGAAATTTCAACATCTTCCTCCTCTCCCTGTCCTCCCTAGAAAGGCACGATGTTCCACGAACATTATAGGAATTTCCTTTCGTGCGCTCCAAGAGATAAAAAAATCTCCTACGCACGTTTCAACTTTTTCGAAAGATTTGTACAGATTTCATGGTTATTTTTTCAGCTATGCTGGTTCCAGAAGACAAATAACTCATAGTGTTGATACTAAGGTCATGATTATTACGTAGAATAATAGCAAGACAGGATGTAATAGATAATAAACATATAAGCTCTCAGAATTACAATAAACATGTTAGGTAAGTATGTAAATTCTATAAATTAAATTCACATTGCATTATACACGGTGTTCTTTACACAAAGTTGGAAAATTCGTGGGATATTTCTTGAGATATTTTTATGAAAAAAGTTCTTATAAATATTTTTCGAAAAATGCTTCCTGAAGACGGGGTTTCCTCAATATTTTCGAAACCGTTCATTCAAAAAACATAAAATTGTTGAATTTGACTTTGAGCGCGGAATTCCACAGTTTCAACCAGGTGCGTACCATACTGGAAGGGTCAAGGGCAAATAGGGTAAAAACAAGCCCATTATTTTTATAATATTTCTTCTTGGCATTCTGATTTCAGAATATGAAACCTGTAGATTTTTTGCGAAAAAAATGTTCATACTCTCAGTACATATGGATACGGCTAGTAGTTTTCTAGGAGGGACGGGTTTTGCTTGGTTTACCTAAATATTTTCGAAACCGCTCACACTGAAATATTGAAATTTGGGAAATATCAAATCAGATTCTGAACTCAGAAATTTAAAAATTTTTTGTCGCCTACGTGTTGAGAAATTCATCATAAAAAATGGTGCTGGGTCGTGCAAAACTCCATTTGGTTTTGTAAACATCGATGTCCAATCATGATGCCGATAATAACTCTAATCAACTGTTAATCTCTACTACAAATATTTTATGCCGTTTATACCGAGCGAACGACAACAGTAAACACCCAGTGTCAATAAAACAAGTATAAACTCCAGCACGATAAATATTTGTTAGTCAATAAAATTCCCCGACACAGAGAGCTAGAAACGTCACTAGAATTTTAAAAACAAATTCGCACCAAGAAAGATCAAAGTACCATGGCGGCGTACACGGAATTTTTTGGGGGAAGGAAGTTGAACCCCCAACCCTCAAATATTTTATTACATCTTCGCCAATTCCAATTCTGCTGTTCACTGCCTGAGTGCCTGTGATAGTTGTGATTTTACTTGAAATTGGTAGAATATCGTACAAGTATTTGCTGAATTCAGTAAAATTTCAGCATCAAAATCAAATTCAATCAATTTAGAGGCATATGAAGTTGTCCAGCGGACGTTGAATATAACTGTTTACAGCTTGGTCTTCAGTAATTTTGAATGAATTCAAAATCATTAATAAATTCTATATTCACAGTAAATTAATGGCTAAAACGGCCGTGCATATAATTTTATTTATGACAGTGACATTATAAGCTTATATCGTCATAGTTACGATATCTATAATGAGGGTCATAACTCCCTTGGGATGTTATAGATGGTATAATTCCCTATAGCTGAAATTAAATAAGAAATGCATAGCAACAACCACGCAATAACGTAGCAATAAGGAATCACCTATTCGCGGTAGTCAAGATCATCATCTGACGTTCTGATGACATTGAAACTATACGAAAAAACATGTCTAACTTCCAATCGGGAAGGTATCTAATGAATGAAATCAGTCAGAAATAAAATTATCTATGTATCACGGGAATTATAGAGCCTTAATAACCTCTGGCAATTGCTGTCCCTCGGGCCAGAGGCCCTCGGGACGCAAACTTTGCCATCGGTAATTAAGGCCCTCATAATTCCCTTAATACATAAATAACTATTATATGTATAAAACTATTAATTGTTCAATTGTCTTGGGTACATTTTATAAAAAAAATTGTTGTTTCTTATCCTAATCGGCTCTTCAAGTCGCCACAGTAAATAATGTTACGTTATTCGGGTGCAGAAGCGAACACGACACTATTTATTTTCGAACTGATTTATTTGAACTAAAGAAACACTAATTTATAACGAACTTATAGTTAATATTTATGTAAAACGATTTATATCACGCGGTATATAACTGTCTCTTTGATACTCGCTGCTCGACTGACTGACGGCAGTTGTCTGGCCGTTTATATATGAGATTCCTTGGTAGGCTTTGGTTCGAGAACGTTCTCGAATGATCTTCCCTTCTCTTTGTTCTAGAAGCTTCTTAGAACAATACCTCTCTCTCTGATCGTTCCATCGATTTTTTCCAGAACATTCCAGAATCTTCTGTCACGTTATTTGTCACCGCGGCATATATTGAGTGTTCGGAAATATGATGGTGCATGTAGGAATCATTGGGAGGTTGGAGAAGGATCTGGGATGCGTGTTACAGGATGATCGTTGTACTCCTGCCTTCCTGCTGATGTTTCTAGAGCCCCTCTAAGGGGAATATCATTATAATAATATATATAATCTATGGCAAATAAATGTTTTCGTCGATCTCTCCAAAAAATCACATTTCACGTTCTAATTTCTGAACTAAAAACCGACTATATCCGAAAGCAAGTACTATTACGTCCGCATACTTGTCACTTGGAATCAAAACATTCCTTGGTTTTTGACGTGACGTGTGTCATTCTGATGTTGTGTTTTGTCCTCAGCGTCATTATTGTCAAGTGTCATTTTGTCGATTGTCATTTGTGATTAGTTAACCTAATTCAACAAATTCAGACTCACAAGTCGGTACTTTTGAATATTTTCTTTAAATCAAACAAGCTTTGAAATTTAGGCTCTTTTAGAACTATAGTTATAATGTTTGTTCCCTAACAGCTACCTAACCGCACTATGCGCGGTTTAAAATAATGTCTAATGTACAATTCAGACTTTTTAACAATACTCATAAACTAACATAAGCATTGTTTTCTTCTTACAGATTTTCTTCAATATAAATTAGCTGATGATGAAGGATTAACCCTTCGAAACATGTCCTTTTGTCCATGACCGTTGATCATTATTAAATTGTTTATGTGGTGGAGTTGTGACTGTTCTTTCACCCCTCCTGATCAAACAGATCTATTGAAATCTACTGAATTTTTGACACGGTATTTACTGATGGAATAAAAATCGAACTGGCAACCCTGGTCCGCGCGGAGAGTGAGTTGACAACAACTGTCGTTTGCTGCTGTCAAATTAATTTTTCACGAAATTCGATAGATTTCACGTGTGAATAGGACCGTGATGTGAATATAAGTGTTTGAAGTCGACGAAAAAAATTAATATGCACCTCGGCGAAAAACGGACTAGGTCGGGAAGTATCACATCGTTGTTGTCACTGCAACTATGAAAATCTTGGTAGATAT